CACCCGCTCCGACTGAATTATTGCCGCGGATCGCAATCTCCACCAGAGAGTTCTCGGGGCTCGCGAGGAGTCCAATACGCCCCCCACCTCCCTTTCCACTCTATAGAAATATTATTGGAGGCTCAGACCACTGGGCGACTCTGGAGAAAGGATTTAAGGGGACAGTCTCCGGCGATTACATCGAACGCAATAATGTCACACTACTGGGAGACACACTCTCTCCCTCCCGTCCATCGATCAGCGGCAACCAACTGTCCTGCTCGTGTCCCGTCTCTTTGTCCGCCGGCAGAGGACAAAGGACAGCGATGGGAGGGTGCTATGTCGAAAAAAGAAAAAAAAGAAGAAAGAAGGGAGATGTCCGAAAGGAGAAAAAAAGTTGGAGTGAATGCGACGGGTAAAGAAAAACGGATTGGGGACAAGGAGTGATATCAGATAAATAAGTTATATAAGGGAAAAGCTATTAAATACTTGGTATTTTATTTTTGAATTAATGTCTACTACATTTAATAACATAAGTTATTAAGTTAGCTTCAGCTAAGTTTGGCCTGATTATTATGTGGCCAAGCTTGGTTTGATTATGTTGTTAATTTTGGTTTGTTTACAATGAGGTTAAGTTTGGTTTGATTATTATGTGGTTAAGTTCGATTTGATTATTATGTAGTTAAGTGTGGCTTGATGATAGTTTGGAAGTTTGATCAGAACCAAAACTATTGAAAGAATAACCAATTATAAACTACAGCTGTTATCCCATTATTTAAATATCTCCATTTAATGCTGGTCTTGAATGAGCTGAATACGTTCCGGTTGTGAATATGCATTTTTATCTGAGCTTGCTTCCACTATATGCGCATTAAGCACGTTTATTTAGATATGCGCATTAGATTGTTTTTATTTGTTGCTCTACTACCATTTTATGCACACTTTAGGCAAATTAGACAGAAACCTACAGCTTAACGTGGATTCCGAACCCCTAACAAACGTCCCTGCCATCGCCAGGACTCGAACCCTGAAGCCTGTGGTATTAAAGGCCAGAACACTAGCCAATTGGCTTTCAGGTTCACCAAATTGGATGGGGGGGGTAAGGGAAAAAATGCACTGTTTATTTATTTATTTAACACATACATTATTCCACCACTCCACAAAACGTATTTTAAAAAAATACTATAGGTTATCAAATCCAGGAAATACCATGTTATATATGTTTGTGGAACATAATACGATTCATAAGATGCGATACTGATATATTTCACAGCACTCCCCGACGTTATCCTCCGAAATCCTTCCCCCCTCCTTAAACCTGATAAAACAAACCGACACCGACGAGAGTCCCTGCGCACCATTTTTAAGGCCGCGAGACAAATCCTTCCACAAAGTCAGAGTCAGAGAGAAAAGTCCACCGGAAATAAAACACCCCCCGCTCCGACTGAATTATTGGCGCGCATCCTTCCGCGGATCGCAATCTCCATTAGAGAGTTCTCGGGGGCTCGTGGAGGGGTCTAGCCCCCCTCCCCTTGCCGCCGTGGAGAAATATTATTGGTGGCCCAGACCATCGGACGACTCTGGAGAAAGGATTTATGGGGGCAGTCTCCGGCGATTACATCGAACGCAATAATGTCACAATACTGGGAGACACACTCTCTCCCCGTCCATCGATCCGCAGCAACTCACTGTCCTGCCCGTGTCCTGTCTCTTTGTCCGCCGGCAGAGGACAAAGGACAGCGATGGGAGGGTGTTGTTTCCAAAAAAAAAAAAGAAAGAATGAAGGGAGATGTTCGAAAGGAGAAAAAAAGTTGGAGTGAATGTGACGGGCAAAGAAAAACGAATTTGGAGAGAAGGAGTGATATGAGATAAGTTATATGAAGAAAAGCTATTAAATACTTGGTACTATATTTCTCAATTAATGTCTACTATTAGTAACAAGTTAAGAGCTTCTATTAAGTTTGGTTAGATTATTATGATTAAGTTTGTCTTGATGATAGTTTGGATGTTTGTTCAGATACAAAACCTATAGAAAGAATAACCAATTATAAACTAGTGCTGTTATGATATTTTTTTAAATATCTTTATTTAATGCTGGTCTTGAATGAGCTGAATTCGTTCCGATAGTAATATGCATTTTTGTGTCAGCTTGCCACATCTATATGCGCATTAGATTGGTTTGGTTTGTTGCTCTATCGTCATTTTTTTACACACTTTAGGCTAATTAGACCGGGACCTGCAGTTTAACGTGGATTCCGAACCACTAACAATCATGCATGCCACCGCCAGGATTAAAACCTGAAGCCTGCGGTATTAAAGGCATAGTCAATTGCTGTCAGGTCACCAAATTAGAGGGAGGAAAGGAAGGAAGGGGAAAATGCACTGTCTATTTACTTATATAATACATGCATTATCCCCCCTTAAAACATACTTTAAAAAATACTATAGGTTATCAAATCCAGGATATGTCGCGTTATATATGCTAGTGGAATATAACACAATTCAAACGAAGCGATACTGATATATCTCACAACATTTCTCGACGTTATCCTCCAAAATCCTCCTCCTCAAACCTAACAAAACAAACCGACACGGACAAGGAGTCCCTGCGCACCATTTTTAAGGCCGCGAGACAAATCCTTCCACAAAGTCAGAGACAGAGAGAAGAGTCCGCCGGAAATAAAACACACCCGCTCCGACTGAATTATTGGCGCGCCTCCTTCCGCGGATCGCAATCTCCACTAGAGAGTTCTCGGGTTTGCGATGGGTCCAACACGTCCCCCCCTTGTCACCCCTGGAGAAATGTTATTGGAGGCCCAGACCATCGGGCGACTCTGGAGAAATGATTTAAGGGACAGTCTCCGGCGATTACATGGAATGCAATAATGTCACACTACTGGGAGACACACACTCTCTCCCCCCCGTCCATCGATCCGCGGCAACTCACTGTCCTGTCCCTTTGTCTTCCGGCAGAGGACAAAGGACAGCGATGGGAGGGTGCTATTTTGGAGAAAAAGAGAGATGTCCGAAAGGAGAAAAAAAGTTGGAGTGAATGAGACGGGTAAAGAAAACGGATTGGGGACACGGAGTGATACGGGAGAAATAAGTTATATGAGGGAAACACTGTTAAATACTTGGTATTTTATTTTTCATTTAATGTCTAATACATTTAATAACACGTTACAGCTTCAGTTATGTTTAGCTTGATTATTAAAATAGTAATGGATGTTTCTTCAGATAAAGAACTATCGAAAGAATAACCTATTATAAACTACAGCTGTTAAGACATTTTTTTAAATATCCTCATTTAATGCTGGTCTTGAATGAGCTGAATTCGTTCCGATAGTGAACATACATTATATGTGAGCTTGTCTCCTCTACATGCGCATTAAGCGCGTTCAGTTACATGTGAACATTAGATTGGTTTTAATTTGTTACTCTATAGTCATTTTACGCACACTTTACACCAATTAGACCGAGACCTACTGTTTAACGCGGATTCCGGAGCGCTCACAAACATCCTTACCATCGTCAGGATTCGAACCTGAAGCCTTTGGTACTAAAAGCCAGAGTGCCAGGCATTTATACATAAGGGCATATTGGATGGGGGGGAGGAAGAAAGAAAAACAATGCACTGTCTATTTATTTATTTAATACATGCATCATTTCCCCTCCTTAAAAAAATACTATAAGTTAACAACTTATTTAAAAAAAACTTATTTAAAAAACTTATTTAACAACTTATTTTAAAAAAATACTATAAGTTAACAAATCCAAGAAACACCGTGTCACATATGTTAGTGGAATATAACACGATTCAAACGATTTACGATATTGATATATCTCACAACATTCCTCGACGTTATCCCAGAGTAAAACCTCTAAAATCTTCCCCCCTTAAACCTGACAAAACAAACCGACACCGAACGAGAGTCACTGCGTACCATTTTTAAAGCCGCGAGACAAATCCTTCCACAAAGTCAGAGTCAGAGACAGAGAGAAAAGTCCGCCGGAAATAAAACACACCCGCTCCGACTGAATTATTGCCGCGTATCCTTCCGCGGATCGCAATCTCCATCACAGAGTTCTCGAGGCTCGCGGGGAAGGGGGTCCAAAACCTCTTCCCCCCCCTTGCCACCCTGGAGAAATATTATTGGAGGCACAGACCATCGGGCGACTCTGAAGAAAGGATTTAAGGGGACAGTCTCCGGCGATTACATCGAACGCAATAATGTCCCACTGCAGGCAGACACACTCTCTCCCTCCCGTCCATCGATCCGCGGCAACTAACTGCTGTCCGAAGTCTGCTGTCCGTGTCCTATCTCTTTGTCCTACTGGCAGAGGACAAAGGACAGCGATGGGAGGGTGTTATTTCGAAAAAGAAAGATGGGAGATGTCCGAAAGGAGAAAAAAAGCTGGAGTGAATGCGACGGGTAAAGAAAAACGGATTGGGGAGAGAGAGTGATATGAGATAAATACGTTATATAAGGAAATGCTATTAAATACTTGGTATTTTATTTTTGAATTAATGCCCGATACATTTTGATAACATGTGAAGAGTTTCGATTAAGTTTAGCTTGACTATTAGAATTGTAATGGATGTTTGCTCACATAATGGATGTTTACTCACATTGGTTGGGCTCAAATAATGGTTGTTTGTTCACATTGGTTGTGCTCAAATAATAGATGTTTGTTCACATTGGTTGTGCTCAAATAATGGATGTTTGTTCACGTTGGCTGTGCTCAAATAATGGCTGTTTGCTCACATTTTGAAATAATAACCAATTATAAAATAGAGCTATTATGACGCTTTTTAAATATCTTTATTTAATGCTGGTCTTGAATGAGCTGAATTCACTCCGATAGGAATATGTATTTTTGTGTGATTTTGTCTTCTCTATATGCGCATTCGTTTAGATATACATAATCAGTGATAGATATGCGCATTAGAAGAGATCTAACCCGACTCGTAGCTCAGTGGCAATGTGCGTCGCTAGTCAGCATTAGGGTTGAGGGTAGCCAACGGCCGTACCATGCTGAATATACCGGTTCTCGCTAGATCACCGAAGTTAAGCATCATTGGGCGCGGTCAGTACTTGGGTGGGTGACCACCTGGGAACACTGCGTGCTGTTGGCAAATTTGGGACTTGAATGGTCGAGTGTCTAGCGCTCTGGCGCTCGGTGCCACAGGTTTCGGATTCGAATCCCGGCGGTGCCATGGATGTTTGTAGTGGTTCGGAATCCACTTTAAGCAGTAGGTCCCGGTCTTCTATGACTGTAAGAGCGTCACGGAGCAAAAAGTCAGGCTTCTACCTACGGGTGCTCCATCACAACAGAAGCTGCTTCCTTCCCCTTCAATCATGAGCCCATATGGGCTCGTGGGCTTGGCCAGCCAAGTGGGATAAGAAACAACAAACAGGGTTGAGGGTGAATCCTCTGGCGGCTTTTATAGACATTGTTTCAAGAAACGAGGAGACCCGATGGCGTTTGTGATGTTCAGCATCTTGTCTCGTAAGTCGGACTACTTGGCGGGATTTTTTTTTGAGTTTTCGATAAGCAAATGCTGAGTAGTTCCTTCCCGAAAAGATGGAGTTATTTTGAAAAACAAATAATATAAAAAAGAATTTTTTAAAGTCAATTCCTTCTTTTTTCTCTCACTATATTGAGGAAGCCCTTTATAAATAATTTTCATTCATTTTTTCTAAGTTTATCTGGCGCCATCTATTGGTAGATACATGCAACTTAAATCTAAAAAAGAATTAAATTAATTAATTAAATCTAATTACTGAATTAATATTTGAAAAAATTGTATCAACATCCAGCGTCATCCACTACAAGCTCAAAAAAAATGTATTTGAACTTGAGTGGATGAATGAAAAGTATTTTATGAACGATTGAAAATTTGAACAAGATATATATAGGGAGAGTGTGAGCTAATAGAAGAAATTAAAAAAAGTGAGAGAGAGATGTCCGAATGGAGAAAAAAGTTGCAATGAATGTGACGGGTAAAGAAAAACGGATTGGGGACACGAAGTGATATGAGATAAATAAGTTATACTAGTATACGGAAAAGCTATTAAAAACTTGGTATTTTATGTTTGAATTAATGTCTACTAAATTTAATATCATGTTAAGAGCTTCAGTTAAGTTTAGCTTGATTATTAGAATTGTAGTGGAATATTTTCTCAGATACGAAATTATCGAAAAAAATAATCAATTATAAACAAGAGCTGTTATGATATTTTTTAAATATCTTCATTTAATGCTGCTGTGGAATGAGCTGAATTCCTTCCGATAGGGAATACTACAATTCTCAATTTTATTTTATTCTATCATAATTTTGTAGAACCGACGGTTTTACCACCAATAATACTTAATACACCAATACTAATAATAGTTACAATTAATAAATAATATAGCGAAACAAACATTTTTAACCAAAATAATAATGAAAAACAATACAAGCATTTCCGATTTACTCGCGTGATAAGAAATACTTCCCAGAAATGCATTCAAATTTATAAATTCACCTAAAACAGAAAAGAAAATACATAAATAACTTTTCAATACATGCTGAACATTATATTAAAAAAAAAAAAAAAAAAAACCCATGAAAACACAATTTCACGTGATAATTAACAGTTGCTTTATATAAATATTTGACACTTAAACATTTGGCAACTTGCATTTTAATTAATACAGTAGAACTTTTGTAAGTCGAACTTCAAGGGAGACGCCAAATAATTCGAGTTATGGAGTTTTCGACTAATGGAGGATTTCGACTTACGCGGATTTTGTAAGGAAATATTCGACTTGTAGAGGTTTAGATTCTTTCTACTTATTTTGAGAATTATAAGAATGAGATTTATAATAAGAATATTTCATAGGATTGGTTATTCTATTTACTGTATACTCATACATTGTTTTCTAAGAAACAATGACGTACATTGCCGACGAATCCTTAAAGTCGGTAACTTATTTTTCTTCGAGCTATTGAAGTAATTAGTTTCAAATGATCAAGTTGTAAAATCAAATATTGCTAATATTCGAGTTACAGAAGTCCAATTTTTTTTTTTTTTTTTCGAGTTACGAGGGGAAATTTATACCAAAATGGTTTGTGGAGATTGACTGATTATTTCGACATATAGAGGGTTGAAATTTGTAGTAATGGAGGTTTTGGGGTTTGAAAGGAAGGGAACAAAAAAATTTTTTTTCGAGCTTTGGAGGTTTTCGACTTATCAAGGTTCGACTTAAAGAGGTTCTACTGTATAACTAGCATTAAATACGAGCATCTCTATCAAGTCAAAACAGAATGTTAGAGATTAAAAGTTTTTTCACGTCTAATTTGATACTGAAATCTTTTCGTAAAAATTGTAAATTCATAAAGCACCTGTCGAGATAAAAATGATCTTGAACAAGTTTGCTTAATATGGAAAATCATTGCTCAATATGGAAAAACTAATAGAAGGAGTAAGGAGTTTGATGGCCGAGTGACAAGCACTTTGTGTCGCAGGTTTCAGGATCAAGTCCCGGGTGTGTCACGGATATTTATAGTGGTTTAGAATCCACTTTAAGCCGTAGGTTTCAGTCTAATATGACTATAGAGCGTTGGGCATAGGGTTAACAAACCTATCCCGTAAAAAGTCAGCATTACGGAACAAAGTCAGATTTCTGCCTACGGGATCTCCATGACAACAGAAGCTGCACCCCTTTACCTCCTTCCATGAGACCACATGGATTCTTGGACTTGGTTTGATGTTGTTGTCTACCAAGTCGGAGAAGAAACATCAACAACACATCCGTTTAAGATTCAAATTTAAATACTTAAGCCTGTAATAATGCATATTATTTTTCTAATAGTCATTTCCAAGAACAAATAAAAATAACCTTAAAATGCCTCTTTATAATATCTTATTTGATAAAACACTCATCAATAATATTTTACTCTATTGTAATCAAAGGAATATTTCTGTTGGTAAAAAGGAGTAAACATCGCAAACAAATTCCATTTATTTATTATTCAGCGCCAAAAGAATTATAAAGTGGATAAAAAAAAAAGAAATTAACAATAAGTTAAAAAACAATTATATTTAAAAATTCAAATAAGGAAAATACACTATATAACAATAAAATCAAATACTAACTTATTATATGAAAGATACCTCGTTCTTTAAAGTATACCCGACTCATTCTTCCTCAATACATATTAAATGTTTTAAGATATTGTTTTCCATAAAAAGCTGTTTTGAAACAAGCTTATTTCACGTCTGCATTGCAAACCACTTCAGAGAATGTAACCGAGTCACCTAAGAAGACGACAGGGCGGCCTCTTCAACTACTAATGAGGATCTTAACAAGCGGAGTCCTAGAGATTTTGTAAACATGTCTATAGAAACGTCCCACGCGTGCAATATAATGGCACGATGAAAGGGAATGCATGCGTCTAGACAATGCAAGAGACGCAAATTCAATAATGTACTGTAAATAAAACACGAAAATTGCAAACTAAAATACTTTAATAATAATAATGGAAGTCCTATTTTATTCATCCTCATGATAATATTTTTTTTTCCCTAAAAAATGGGGCACTAAGCAATTGCATATGTTTCTTTATTTCGGATTCATAAACTGGTTAATTTAATTTGTTAGCTTAACTAATTAAGCTAGTTAAAATATAATTACTTGAATTAGTTTAGTTGAGTACAGCTGGCTGCTGTCATCATAATCTGGCGTGAAAACTAAATGTAACTTTGAGGTAAACACTTTTATTGCACGCTACTGAGCTTCTCCAGCGACCTGATGGTCAATTGTATGACGCTCTGACTATTGATACCACAGTCTTCAGATTCGAATTCTGGCGGTAGCATGGATGTTTGTTAGTGGTTCGGAATCCCCGTTAAACTGCAGGTCTCGATCTAATTACAGTTAAGTGTGCAAAAAGTGACAGTAGAGCGACAAACCAAAGCATCCTTTAAGATCTAAATTTAAATACTTAAGCCTGCAATAATTTATATATCTTTCTGACAGCAGTTTTCAAGAACAAATAAAAATTAACTGTAAAATGATTCTTTATAATATCTTTTTTGATACAGCATTCGTCCTTAATATTACATTCTATTGAATTCAAAAGAATATTTCTATTGGTAAAAAGGAGTAAACATCGCAAATAAATTCCAAAAGAATTTTAAAATAGGATAAAAAAAAAAAAATAAATAAAAAAAAAAAGGAATTAACAATTACATTTCAAAACCAAATAATGATTGTATAACATTAAAATCAAATACTACCTTATTTACATGTAAGATACCTCGTTCTTTAAAGTATACCCGACTCATTCTTCCTCAATACATATTAAATGTTTTAAGATATTGTTTTCCATAAAAAGCTGTTTTGAAATAAGCTTATTTGACGTCTGCATTACAAACCATTTCAGAGAATGTAACCAACTAGACATTGTGGATTACAATGCAGAGTCACCTAAGAAGACGACAGGGCGGCCTCTTCAACTACTAATGAGGATCTTAACAAGCGGAGTCCTAGAGATTTTGTAAACATGTCTATAGAAACGTCCCACGCGTGTAATATAATGTCACGATGAAAGGGAATGCATGCGTCTAGACAATGCAAGAGACGCAAATTCAATAATGTACTGTAAATAAAACACGAAAATTGCAAACTAAAAAACACCAGCAATACTTTAATAATAATAATGGAAGTCCTATTTTATTCATCCTCACGATAAAATTTTTTCTTCCAAAACGGCACTAAGCAATTGCATATGTTTCTTTATTTTATAGACCCAAAAACTGGTTAATTTAATTTGTTTGCTTAACTAATTAAGCTAGTTAAAGTATAGTTACTCGAATTAGTTAAGTTGAGTACAGTTGGCTGTTATCATCATCATCTCGAAAAATAGCATGATAATTAAATGTAATTATGCGATATACATTTTTATTGCACGCAACTGCATCAATATCGTACTGAACTTCTCCAGCAGCCTGATGTCCAACTGGCTAGTGCTCTTGCCTTTGGTATCGAAGGCTTTCAGATTCGAATCTTGGTCGTGGCATGGATGTTTATTAGTGATAAGGAGTCTACGTTAAATTATAAGTTCTGATCTAATTAGCATAAAG